GGTGTCCGGCGGGCGGCGGGGCGCGGGGAGTTAAGTATAGGACGCGGCCGGAATGCGGGGCCGAGGGCGGGTGCTTTTCCTGCGGCTGCAGATCAGTGTGCCGAGTTCCCTAGCCTTTGCCCGCGACTTGGAGTTCTTCGTTTCCCGTTGCTCTTCGTACTCCTTACTGGGGACGATTTTTCTTCTGTGACCCTACCTCACCCACCAAGGCCCAGTGATCGTGTCCAGCATCTTTAGGATCCCAAGCTGCGTTACTGATATCCAGACTGGTATTTCTGGCTCCTGGTGTGACTGGCGACTCCGGGTTACACAATGACTGTCGCTTGTGTGTCCACTGCTTCTGCAGACCTGTTTGGAAAATACTTTTCCTCTCTTTTCTTACATTGCCTCTTGGAAAGCTGTTTTCCCGGTACCACGCGAAGTATTATTAGCTCACATACCTATAAAGAAAAGTATTTTAAACTTTCTTCAGGATTTACATAGAACAACGTGATTAGCAAAGATTTAATGACCCTTGAGTACCGTATGGACTGCCTATTAGGTGCTTAGCTCATGAAGAGCAAAAAAAGTTAAACTATTCATTGAGGGTATACTGTGAAACTGCACTACTTATCTTTTTTTTTAAAGATGTATTATCTCAGTTTTAGTTCTCTATAATTCGGTGAGGGTTACATGATACTGCACTTTACAAATAGGGAAACCGAGGCACGGGGAGGCAAAGTCACTTGCTCAAGATCACAAACAGCAAACGTCAGACATGGATTCCCACCCGGACTATGAGAGTCCAGAGCTGGGTTACTTCTCCTTGCTCCTTTCCCGTGTTTTGTAATCTTGAAAGGACAGAAAAGTAACATATTCAAAACAAACTGAGATGGGTTCTGAATCAACCATGCCCTGCTGCCTTTCCATGCTGGAGGGACGGAAAGCCTTCTCTGGGCCGGCCTCATGCAGTTAACACACATTTTTGGAATATCTGCCGCGTGTTCATTGGTTGGCGGTCTCTTCCCTTTCCAGCCCTCTCCATTTGGGAGGCCAGCTTCCCATTTCAAAACCGAAGAACGCTACACAGTTCCAGTTTAACGTCTTCAACGAAAAGAAATAACAGTACACACAGCCTTCAGTGATTCCCGTTGACTCTGCCTTCGCCTGAGGAAGGGTCTTAGGCTGTCTGCCACTCAGGGCCATTTGCAGCCTGCTCCCTGATTCCTCTATCCAGTTCTCTTGCTTTTGAAGTCTCCTCTGATTTCTGTCCCTCAGAAACTCCTCATCACGCCACTTTGCGCCTTTGCTCAGCCTTGTAACTCTGTGTTCTCCCTCCCCTGACTCCTGACGGAGTCAACCTCTGGAGTTTTCTAGGTGTCCTGCCTCACCCCCGCAGAGTTCAGTGCCCGCTCCTTTGGGTTCTCACCGTGTCTTGCTGTTCTTCAGGCCTCCCCTAGTTCTCTTTCTAAACTCACTCGTCTCTGCCTGTGTTGAGAATGTCCCTTGTCATTTCCATCAAGCAGGAGTATCTACAGTGGAATAATCCGTGGAACTAACTCTGGGTACAACTTTTCTGTAGGCATTGAGCTTTGAAGAAGGAATAGGATTTGCAAAGTGGGGAGTGCACATTTTCAGTGAGATACATTGTAGAGATAAGCGAGTCTTTCTGTTGGATGGAGGATCGTGTTAGGGAATAGTGATAAGGTTGGAGAGATTGTGGTTTTGAGATTGGGATGAAATCACATACATTTAGTAGGGTGACAGGTGTCCATTGACCTTGTTTTGTTTATTTCCCTTTTAGCAGAACTTTGGAGTGTTTAATTTTTTTTGTAATATTGAAAGCAATAAAACAGTATTTAGGAAATATAGCAAATGGCTACACAAATGTTAAAAAAGGACTGTCAATTCTATAAGCCTAGCATAGCTTTTCATTTTCCTTTACTCTCTTTCATGAGTGTGCAGCCTTCTTCAAGTTTTTACTCAAATCTCCCTTTTTCAGGGCAAATTTAAATGGTGACCCACATACTAACCCTCCTTTATCTCCCTTGCTTCTTTATTTTTCTCTATCTCACTTATGGCCGTATAGCTGTACCATATATTTTACAAATTCTTCATAATTTATTGTCTGTTTTCCCTGTTAGAGTGCAAACTTCAGGAAGTCCTCAGTAAATATTTACTGAATGAATGAATACATACTTTAATATATTGTTTTTACAATATCTGCTGTATTGTGTATTCCCCTCTTTTTTACTTAATATTCTAACAAACATTTCTATGTAGCTTTCATATTCACAACGTTTTATGGATGTACAAGAATGTATAAAGTTATGTACAATAACATATTCAATCATGCCCCTGATGCTGTTTTGCTTTTGCTCATGTTGAATTTTGTGTGTTCGGGTGAGTCCACAAGAGTAGAATTACAATTTGAAGGACCTGACAATATTTATGGTACTTGCTCATCATGGGCTTCTGTTTAGGCAAATGAGACGGCACTCCAGCTTTTTGGCAAACACATTTGAGCCTGTACGAATAAGGCTACTGTCCTAGGTCAGGTGTGGGACGTAAGCTTAATCTTCTGGGCCTGTTTTTGAAGAGGTGCCAGAGGAAAGACAGGTAGGGAGAATCCAAAAAGCTTTATGAAGGAGACCCCAGCATTTAAACTAAGCTTTGAAGGACAAGTAAGACTTCACAGGTGCAGATGATGCAACAGCATGAGTTAGGGTAGAGATGTGAGACTGTAAGAGACCCTTTGGGTCAGTAGCAAACAGGAAGGGCTCGAGCACAGAGTGGGACGGGGACCTTGGGTTACTGCCAAAGGCTTCAGGGACCTTGGTGATCTGTTTAGATTTCAGTTGGTCAACAGTAGCGGAATGTGCTTATTACAGGTTTTGTCATGCTGCTTTATAGCTGGATAATCTTTGGACAAGTGAAATCTCTCTGACCCTGAGTTTTCCCATCTGTTAAAACTGGAATGACAAAACTACTTTGTTAAGTTTTTTTTTCAAAGAGTAAACAAGTCAGAGATATAACGAAGCTCTTAGCAGGGTGCCTGATGCATGGGGAGTGGTTGAAAGATGCCAATTCCTGTCTCTGAAGGTTAATTTAAAATTGCACTTCTGGCAAAAAAAGAAAGCCTAAGATATTTTCACAATATGTGTAGTGCGACTTTGTGGAGCAGTGAACCCAAGGTTCATTTCCCAAAACGTTCAGTAACAAACATATCTTTTAGATGCATTTTGTTGCAGACAAGGAGAGATTGATTATATGGATCTACTTCAATTTGCTATCCATACTTCTGCTTATGGACAACTGAATTTTTTCCAGTTTGGGGCTATTACAGATAAATGCGAGAACATTCCTGTACTAGTCCGAGAATGGCCGTAGGCTTTCATTTTTCTTGGCTAGATACCTACAAGTGGGTCATACCATAATCAAAATTTTGATTTCCTAAGAAACTCCTAAGCATTTGATCTTTTTTACCTCTCCACAGGCAATGAATGACGGTTTAGTAGTTTTACACCCCCACTAGTATTTTGTATGGCCACTCACGGTAATTTTAGATATTTAGTGCCCATACTGTGTCTTGTCGTTGTGGTTTTCTTTTTTATTTTCCTTGTAGCTAATGACACTTCTTGTGTGCTTACTTGCTTCTTGTCTGTCTTCTTGGGTACAGTGTCTGTTCAAATCTCTTACCATTTTTTTTCTCTCTTAATGAGTTGTTCGATTTCCTGACACTGAGTTCTAAGGTTCCTTACATAGTCTGGACAGAAGTTTCTCTGCCAACTTTTGGCAAATATTTCCTCTCAGTTCTGACTTGGCTTTCATTCTCCTAACAGTGTCTCTCCAGGACATGTGGTCTTAGTCTTAATTTAAATCCAAGTTATCAGGCTCTTCTCTCATCTGAATCTTTCAGCCTAAGTCTTTAATGGCATGAGAGTGTATGTGCAGTCAGTTGAAACACTCATATGTGGGTTGCAAAAGACGGTAATAATTTAGTCTGGGAAGGCAATATAGAGATGTTTATGAACAACACTTGAAAGTAGAGATGTATGCAAATGAAGACCATCTCTTGTTAAAGCTTCCAAATGGCTCTTTTAAAGAGAATATGAAGAAGAAATTACAAGTGAGAATATTACCTTTTTTCAAAAACTGTTGAAATAATGAGTCTAGGTAATGAACATCCTTCACTGCCAGCATCACCAAACAGAGCAATAGCCAGAAATTGTGTTCCTTGTAGAAGAAATACTAACAGCAGCTTACTTGTATGTGTTATCCTTGCCAGAAATTCAAACTCGAATCTCATCAGTCCCCTAGAACTAGCTGCCTGTCTACAGGAAGTACAAGGGACAGAACATGATAAATGGCATGTGGGTGTCCAGTTAGCAGAATTTACAGGAAGAGGTATTCTGCAGGACTAACCACCATTCAACAAATTGTAAAAGAAAGAAGAACTCAGGAAGAAGGGAAACCTTCTAGATCAAGAGTCATGAAAGACATACCGACTAATTACAGTGTATGAATCTTATTTCAATTGTGATTTTTAAAAATTAGGAGGCAACTGAGGAAATTGGTACTGTGGCTCAATATTTATGATATCGACAAGTCATTTTGTACATGGAATAGTGAGTGGTACGATAGTTTTACTTATTAAAATAATTATTTTAGCAATGCATAAGGAAACATTTATGAATCATATTATAAGGCAGCATGTATCTGATTCAAAATAATTAGGGGAAGAGAGGCAGTTTGAAACAAGATCACCCATAAGACGATAATTGTTGAAGCTGGCTACTGGTCACATGGGGGTTCGTTATTCTATTCTCTGTACCTTTGTATGTATTTGAAATTGCTCACAATGTTAAAAAGCAATGTTAAATTTTTTAAAAGAAGGAAATAGAATTGTAGATAACTGTTTTTCAAGGAATGGATGGACAGTTTCTAAGAATTTAAGAAACCCTGGAAGACAGAGACCCCCTCAGTAGGGTTTGTCAGGGACAGCTGTGTCTGTAGCAGCAGGACATAAAGACTCCCGAGTTTTCCAGGTCAGGGCAAATCCCTCTCCTCACGGCATTCCTCTTTTATCCCCACTGACTGATTTAAGGGGCCCCTGCAGCACATAGTTACTTCTTCTTCTCTAGTTTCCTTGCTCAGTACCTGGCTGAGCAATTAATGTTGAGCCTGAAAGATAAATAAGTGAACGAATGAATTAAGCAGCAAGAAATTGTCTATCTATGGGGCATGTTTTCTGTTGGTTGTTCTTACTTGTTTGGGTTCATGTAATCGACCGCCCTGGAGTATTTAAACAGAAAGCAGAAAAGAACATCCCATTAGGGAAAGAATTCCTAATGGCAGAAATTCCAATTGCTCTTGGGTTGTTTTACCACAATTGCTAACCTGATGGTTGAAAGAAGACCAGAGTTAATTAAATGTAGTGCCATTAGAGAAACTTTGATGATGTCTCCCTGTGACAGTGGGTTTAGGAAGTGAGCTCTGACTTTGTTTATTGGAAAGCAGATATAAATGGTTCGGTGGTCCTTTTGAATCCCAGGGTGAGTTAATTTATTTTAAGCAGTGTAGTGATTGGTATAGGATGTTATACTCCTTGCTACAATACTGCCACCTGTGGGGCGACAGTAAAACCTGTAATGCAATACGCTGACTTTTGGACAATGCTATTCAAAAGTGGAGAAAATGAAATTTAAATTAATCCTTTGATGAGTTCTTTGGCAGGTTAATGATTGCTTCTCATATTTATCTCTTACACATAGGTTTTCCTTAAAAAAGACAAGTGTGTGGGAAAATGCAAATACAAAAATTAAGCTTTTCATGTTATTGGAAGCACGGGGCCTTGGAATCAGAGATAATGTTATCACAAAATTTTAACCCTGGAAGGTACCTAAGGCACTGTCCAGACTAGCAGGCTCAGTTCACGTTTGGCTCTCACAGAAGATAAAACAGAAATCCAGTGCAGTGAGGCTGGGGGAATAGCGTGGGATATTTCAATCTTGTCACTAGCTTCCTCCGAAACTGGGTTCTGAAACTTAGCATTTGCATCCCTTTGGAGAGGCCTTCAGACTTTTTCTCTTTTTGAAAGCACACTGCAACTGATTACTTGTGCACACAGTCTCTGGGTCACTTTTATAAGGCACTTACTTAAACACGAGCGGCTGTGTCGGCTAATGTCCCAGGGCGCAGTGCAAACCTAGAGTCAGACCAAGTCGCTGTCAGGATTCGGGAGCAGAGACTGAGCTCAGCACTGGGTTCAGACCCCAGCTGGCTGGCCGGATATCTGTCTGTGCCCTGTATCTGGGTAGTGACACAGGACACTAGTACTCTCTTACCTTACCGTTATTGTATCACGGATTACCATGTGACGGTGTCTAGAACGTCGCATTTGTTGCCATTGTGAATATTTCTGCATTTCCAAAGTCTTTGCTGGTTCCAGCCATTTAGTTACCTGACTTGTCATACCTGCTAAGAGAGTCATTGCTTTTACCCCACTCTGCTAAGGAGAAACTCTAGAAGTGCCACTCCGCCGTTTCCTTGCTTTTCCATGAGTTCACATCTTTGCCGCATTCATTCAGGGGTTTCTGTGCAGGCAGTCTTTTTCACCCACTGGTCCGTGGTGTGCGTGAGTGTTGTTTAAAGTTAAGACTCCGTAATTTTGTATTTCGTAAGTCCACCGAGGCACGTCAGAGGTCCCTGGTCTTAAAGACTAGACTACTCATTTCCAGGGATGTATCTACTCCAGATTTCGAAAAGCTAAGGATGCGGTGACTTCCTTAACCTTTAGTGTGCCTTGGTAATTGTGAGGGGAGCTGAGGAAAAATCACCTCTTGTGACTCTAGGAGGAATGAAAAGTAGGAAAAAAACTGGTGTCTGCGAGTATAACTTATATTTTAAGAACTCTTTGATGGGAACAGAATGTATGTTTAACACTGTGTATGCCTAAGTTGAAAAGCAACGGCATATAATTTTTTTCTTTTTTAAAGTTTATCATTTGTTTATTTATTTAGTATCAGGGATCAAACTTAGGACCTTGTGCTTGCAAAGCAGGCACAGTGCCACAGAGCTACATCCCCGGCTCTATTTTATTTCTTTTTTTAAAAATAAACTCTTTAGAAACAGGCTCATGTATGATCTGCTGTATGTATTCCTTCTGTGCTGTGGCAATTGTTTTTTTATTTAGTGAAAATTATGTAAATAGTAATTGATGATGCTCATTGAAGATTTCCACTTGTACCTATATATGACGTACTATGCGTTTGTATAAAATACATTTATAAACACATTACTGCATTTGAAAGCTTTCTATCTGAAGATGCATTCATATAGTTGAAATGCTGCACCACAGTCTTACTTCTGGTAGTAATTTCTTTAGTCTTTCAGTTTTCTTGCTGAAACCAAAAATACTCGGGACATTGTTTTGTCTCTCTCTGGTCGGTCCCTTCCATGTTCCATTCTTCTTCCTCCTCCTCCTTCTCCTCCTGTTCTTCTTCTTCAAGTCAACATAAAAGTGCTATTTGTCATTTTTTTTTTCTCCATTAAAAAATGGAATAGTGAACCGAGAGCAAAGTGACATACGGCACAGCTATACAAGTAGCGTAACTGTATAAATATGTACATAGCAAAACTGTAAGTTGTGACAGTTCTTTTTGGGAAGTTCTGGGATATTTTAAAAATTGTGATAATATATACGAGAAGTGACCACCTTCAGGTTTTTAAAATACACAGTTCAGTGGCTTCAGTGCATTCACATCGTTCTTTTTTTGGCTTGTGTTTTTGAGGCAGGGTCCCGCTATGTAGTTCAGGCTGGTCTTCTAGTCACTGGGTGGCACAGGCTGGCTGTGAACTCGTGGCAGTCGTCCTGCCTCGGCTGCCTGAGTGCTGGGATTACAGGTGTGCACCACCACGCCTGGCTTACATTCACATTGTTGTGTGGCCATCATCACGGTCCATTTGCCTGGCTTATTTTACTGAACATAATGTCTTCACGATTCATCCGTGTCATAGCAAGTGTTGGAATTCCTTTCCTTTCGAAGGCTGGGCAGTGTTCCATTGCATGTTTACACCATATGTTGTTTATCCATTCAGCCTTTGATGGACACTTGGTTTGCTTCTGCCTTTTAGTTACTATTAACAATACTGCTTTGAGCATGCGCACACACATTAGTGATACTCATTTTGGTAGAACTTCATAAAATACTTTTTTTTCTTTAGGTGGTTGGTTCTAGCTATTGCCATGGTACGTTTTTATATGGAAAAAGGAACACACAGAGGTTTATATAAAAGTATTCAGAAGACACTTAAATTTTTCCAAACATTTGCCTTACTTGAGGTAAGTTTTTCATCATGTTATTTTTCTATAATGCTTAGTTGACTGTTCTTGTTGAATGATACATTTTATTTTGCTCATTACATACCTCTTATGGATGTATGTAATGCCAGAGTTGACAGGGATTTATTTTTTGCTTTATATTATTAACTTGTGATTTTTTTTAAATTCACTTACAGATAGTCCACTGTTTAATTGGTGAGTTTTTCTTGAGTTTTGTCTTTTTTTTATAAATTGATGTTAGGACAGTTGTTGACTTATTTTTCTCTTCAAGGAATTGTACCTACTTCTGTGCTTGTGACCGGGGTCCAAGTGAGTTCAAGAATCTTTATGGTGTGGCTGGTTACTCACAGTATAAAACCGGTAAGGGACGCAGAAATGTTTTGTACTTGAGCACGTAGGCAAGCTTTTCAGCATTAGGAATCTAAAACACTGACATTCTTACATTTCAGGAAGCAGAATGATTAGGCCAAGAAGGTCTTGGGCTGGAATTGAGTTAGCAGCGTACACCGACTTAGGGCTGTAGTACAATGACGGAAACACAGCGAAACCAAATATTGGTGTTTTATATCCATATTGTACTCTTGAACATTTTTCCAGTGTTTAAAATTGTATCTTCTATCAGATCACAAACTGCAATGTTTTCTATTAAATTTTCTTCCCTATCAAAGTTACTCTTTTATATAATTGGAAGCATCAGCATAAACAGTTTATTTTTCCTCATTTAGCATTGAATATTGTAGCAAAGACAGAATACTCAATACAGTTCTGTATGTTTGAACAAATGGGAAAGTCTGAATTAAAAGTGAGTCTTTTTATCAAAGGATATAAAAATCTCAGGAGGCCTAAGTGCAGAAGATCTGTCATACAACAAGGTGACTGTGGTTAATAACATCACATTCTGTACCGTAAGCATTCATACTTTTAATTTGTCTGTTAGAAAGGAATTTCAAAAAAGTTAGGACTGAGAAACTTGGGTGAAAATAAACGTATTATTTATGGAAGTGTGGCGGGAGAGAGACTAATAATGACTGAATCTAAATCAGGGCTTAGGCCTTTTAGACGAAACAGACACACGGCAGACGCTGTCAAGATCCGTATTGGGCCCTTTAAGCCCATGTCGGAAACATTTCCCAGCTCCGCCCTCCTGACCTTCTTGACAGCCTTTGTAGTCTCCGGTCTGCGGTCTTCTTGAGGACAGATCTCTGCCCCCTTTCCACTCTGCAGATTCCTTTCTTGTCTCCTCTGTGCCTGGGGACAGATCTTTGACCTTCTGTCCTTTTATTTCACTGCACCTTATCCCTCTTGACTGCTGGTTTTCACTCGGCGACTCTATCCACCTGGTCGCTTACCTGGGTCTGCCCTGTGGATAGCAGCGGTCCTGCGCCTCCCAGAGAGCCAAACGCTTTCTGAATGAAGATTGCGTACTGCAAAAGCAGGAGTGCGTTGACAGAATAATGAAGAGGCTGTTCTGGGAGCGGATCGTTGTAATAGCTGGGCTAGGACCATGAGGAGTCTGAAGAATAAACAGGAAGAAAGGCAGTGATGGAGTGGTCAACGCTAACTAGACATGAAATTAGAGAGCAGCTCGGTAGGGTGGTGGCTCTTTCCGAAGAAAACAAAGGCTCCTTCCGCCCTCTTCTCCACCAGAGGCTCTGTTCCTTCCTGTTACACTTCTCCACCACAGCAGTTACCCATCAGCACAGACTGTTCCTCTTGTTTTTAGGGGGGTGGTTTCCTAGAGTTACTGCCTTGAGTGAAGGATGAGCAGCAGAACTAGTGAATAGTTGACCATTTCTGTGCGTAGCACTAAGTTCGATGCTTATAACTGATTCTTTACTAGGGACTGTATTTAGTTTTCCATATCGCATCTGTCTAGCCTGAGCATTCTGTTAGAAGGCGAGAAATATTGAAAAGGATCACAACACAGAGCTCACCGAAACATCAATTCTAGGTTGACAAGCGTTGGATTTCTCTAATTTTGCAGATCCAGAACGAGGAGAGTGTGGTGCTTTTTCTGGTCTCGTGGACAGTGACCGAGATCACGCGCTATTCCTTCTACACATTCAGCCTTCTCCACCACTTGCCGTACTTCATTAAATGGGCCAGGTGGCGATGTCTTGCACGTTAGCTTCTCGCTGTCCGGTGCATGCTGATTTTGTGTGCTGAGCTAACACCAGAGAATTAAAATTTGTGTTGTGGCTAGCTCTGTGATAGCAGCGTGCTCTTGTTCTGGAAATTAGCAGCATCACAGCTTGTATTAAAAAGCTGGATTTAATGATCAGAGACAAATCATACTGAAATACATTTTGTGTAACCTCAACCCCAGGCAAATCCTATTCTTGACCTCAGGATCGGTCTTTATTTTCCTTTGAAGACACCTTATATATTTTTGGAATTATATTGAATGAACTATACCAAATATGGTATTTGTTTGATTTAAATTATTATTATTTTATTTATTTATTGGTACCAGGCATCAAACTTGGGACCTTGCGCTTACAAGACAGGCGATGGAACCACTGAGCTAAATCCCTGATTTAAATTATTTTAACAGATAGTATAAGCAATATCTTTTTTTCTGTTTTTGCTGTAAATGGCTGAGACAGACTTTTTGAAAGTTTATATTTGAAATTGTATTGTTTGAAATGTGGGCCAAATTTATATCCTAAAGCAGTACTTTTTTTTTTGTACCGGGGTTGAACTCTGAACCTTGTGCTTGGGAGGCAGGCACAGTGCCACTGAGCTAAATCCCATGCCCCTAAAGCAGTAATTTTTAAAGTGCAAAAATGCCCTATTCTTTTTTTGTTTTTTTTTTTTTTGTATCAGGGATCGAACTTGGGACCTTGCGCTTGTGAGACAGGTGGCAAACCGCTGGGCTAAACCCCTGGCCCCTCTTTTTGAAGATTGAATTCTTCGAGAAACATATTTTACCAAGTTATTATAAAAATGAAAGTACTTTTCAGAAGGTAGCGATGCTCATCACTTTACCACCAACACCCACCAGAATTTTTGGAGAACAAATCAAAACCAGCACTGATTTGTTTATTCTGTTCTTGTACTTACAGTAGCAGTAGCCAAGTGATAAGCAGTGGGTACTTGCCGCACACCTGAGATGCAGGGGTGAATGTATCATGCACTTATACCCTCTCGGGATGAAGGCAAAAAGTTAAAACCTTGATAGATAGTAGTGCTAGTAAATGCCAGGTGTAAGTTCCACCTAGGCAGGAGAGAAAAGATAAACCAGGTATTCATACTTAGAATTACTTAAGAATATAAACTCCAGAAGTAATATGCTTTTACTGTAAAAAGTTCAGACAATGCAGGTGTACATAAAAAAAACACAGAAAGCTGTTTATCTCCTTGTGCAACTCTCGGCTTGTCCCTGGAGGAAGAAACTGTCCTCAACTAGGGTTTTCATAATACAAATGTAAAGACACATATGTGGGTTTAAGAGGCTGATATGACACCTGCTTTCTGTGTATATCTTGGAGCTTTTTCTTCCTCTCTGCAGATACATTTTGATCTAGCTCTTTGCTACACAATATTCCGCAGCGTGATTGAACCAGCTCTCTAGTGCTAGAATTTAGATTGTTTTCAGCCTTCTGATATTATAAGTAATGCTCGGAGACATTATAAATAATGCCATATTTATGTAGCATTGAAAATCTGTATTATTTTTAAAAACATCAATATGTGTGGTAGTACATTGTTATTTCTTAGCTAGTTTCAGACTTGTTTCTGATCCTCATGTGTTGAAAGCAGTTAATCCTTTTTGTATAGGACTAGTGATTAGTTCTTTTTAAAATAACTCATGTATTATATATGTTCAAACATAAATTAGAATATATGAATAAATACAAAAGAATAAAAGTTTTTGTTGCCAGGCGTGGTGGCGCATGCCTATAATCCCAGCACTCGGGAGGCTGAGGCAGGAAGATTGCTGTGAGTTCGAGACCAGCCTGGGCTACACAGTGAGTTCCAGAGCAGCCTGAACTACATAGTGAGACCCTGTCTCAAAAAACCAAAAAAAAAAAAAA